CTTTTAAGAAAATATATCGAATTCCATTCCAACAAAATAAATATGCAAATTGAAAATAAACGAAGTTAGTTAGATAAAAAGATAAATGAATTTTATATCAGAATTCTTATTAAATATGCCTAGAAATACACTACTAAAGACTTACGTAAATGGCTAAGAAAGGTTTAAGACGATAAACGAATCAGTTACTATTATTCAAGGATTTATAAATGTAATATTTTTAATATAAAAAATTAAAATATATTGCAATATTTTTGATTAAAGTCCTAATGCAAATATGTTTTTAAAAATATGTTTTAATAATTTGTGGCTATTAAAACAGCGGAATGTTTTAGTTTTTCAGCTAGTACAATCCTCTTTGACCAAAACAAATTTTTATGGCCTGAAGACCACCAAGTTTATCATCTCTTAAATAACCATCTTCAATTCCAAACTTGATTTAGACTTTAAAATTGCTAATCTTCTTTTTACTTGACAAGAATTGCTGAAAGTTTTTTGCCCGACATAATAATGGCTTCTAGCGGATTACGAAAAATTAAATTGGCTCCACTAAAAACAACGAAGTTCGATATCTTGGTAAATATATATATATATATATATATATATATATATATATATATATATATATATATATATATATATATATATATATATATATATATATATATATATATATATATATATATATATATATATATATATATATATTAGTATGAAAGTCATCAATTGGTTTAAAACAATAAACAAATCAGTTCCTATTATTCAAGGATTTATAAATGTTTATTTTAATTATATAAATTATTAAAATCTGTTAAAATGTTTTTGTTTAAAGTCCTAAATACAAATATGTTTTTAAAAATTTATATATTTAAATTTGTGGCTATGATTTCAGCCGTTTATTTTAGTTTTTCAGCTACTACAATCTTCTTTGATCAACACAAATTTATATTGTCTGGCCACCAAATACACATATATATATATATTTTTTTTTGTATGTATTTAGGTGCTCCCAGAAGTCCTTACGGTCTTATCATAGAGCACCGCGGGAGAGCATTTAACAGGAAGTTCACCCTTCTTTCCGTACCAATGTCGCTTGTTGGGCTGGAGCTGGCGTCGAACCTGGGACCTCTGGGTTCTGAGCCAGAACTCTAACCACTGCGCCACGGCTGCAGTGGTTAGAGTTCTGGCTCAGAACTCTAACCACTAGGTCATATATAACTCTAACCACTAGGTTATATAGAACTCTAACCACCTAATATATATATATATATATATATATATATATATATATTTATATATACACACACATATATATATACACATCTATAATATAGTGAAATTTTGATAAATAAGGGCGCCAATCAGGGTTGCTGCCCAAGGCGGCGTGACGGCTCTTGGCGGCCATGATGTTAATTACTATAAAATAGAATTAAAAGAAAATATTTATATAAAACAATAATTGGTGTGGTAAATATATATTGCTCATATTTGTATTATTCCTAAAACTAAATAACGGATGACGATCATATTGAGAAAAGTAAAGCCTGGAGTCCATTTTTTACTAAATTACGATAGTTCAAGAAAAAAAAAAATTCTTATATACTTTTTAATGTTATCTTTTTAACGGTTTGGTTTTATTATAAACAAGTTTATTTTAAAATATTCAACTAAAAAACTAGACGTTATTTTTAACAGATCAGCGAACATCCAAAAAAAATAGATATAGATAAATGATATTTATGCATACAAAAATTTTATCTATTTGAAAAAAAAAAAATTTTGTCTTGTCAGTTGTCATTTTCTGGTTATTTATGGAGCGTTGTGAAAAAATTATTTTTAATTAAGATTAGTATTTTACATACTTTGCCAAACTTTGACAACCATAAGCCATACTTAATCGTATAACGAGAATATAGCTTTTAAATAATTTCTATTTTTTCCTGTTTAAATAGAACTTACAAGATCAGACTAAGGTTTCACCAAAACGTTTAAAACAATTGTTATCAGTGTGTAGATAACAACGCTTAAATCATAAATTTTTGGTTGACTTTTCCTACGCATGTCAAGAGGGAGGAGGAGAGATCTAAATATTTAGCGCATGTACTTTATGGACGATCCCTAAACATTTAAATAAATTTTCAACAAATTTTAAAGAAATTGAAAGTATAAATTTATAAATAAGTCCCCCTACCTAAAAGGTACATACCCTTAAGAAATACCCCCTCTTTTTATTAATTGTAAAAGAGTTATTTAATTAAGAAATATTTTTTTAATTAGAGCATGCGTTTTTTTGAGTTGATATATTCCCCTCATCCGTTAAAAAACCATTAAAACCCATATATATATATATATATATATATATATATATATATATATATATATATATATATATATATATATATATATATATATGTATCCCTTATCATTTCTCTAAAAATTAAAAGTTTGTTCAAGAAAGATAACCACAACTCTAATATATTTGGTAGGTTGGTAACAACTCTAATATATTTAGTAAGTTGGTTTGGTAGGTTGGTTGAAGCCAGATTTAACAATTAACAAAAATCTTCAACCAACCTGGTAGGTTGGTTGAAGATTTTTGTTAATTGTCAAATCTGGCTTCAAAAGATAAAAATCTTCAACCAACCTACCAGGTTGGTTGAAGATTTTTGTTAATTGTTAAATCTTTTAAATAAGTATAGTACAATTGAATTTTTCTCAAAAATAATAAATAAATAATAATAAATAAATAAAGTATACAACTAAATTAAGATGCCGTATATGTAAAAGCTTAAAATAATGCAATTACAACAAATATTTTAATGAATACTATATAAATTAAAATTTTTTGTAAATTAAAGGCTTTATAATGTCATATGTTTCCAGTGTAATTATCTTGTCAACTAATCAGTATGTTAAATGAATTTACTGGTTGATTTGCTTAAATCTAACATGTATTGTTTGAAGCTTTCATTCGACTGGATTAATTGGTCGTTAAAATAAAATAAGAACCTATAATTTAGGATTTACATAACTAATCTGTTGTCACCGCCTTGACTGGTGCTTGATATTCTAGACAAACACGGATAAATGCTATAGATATTTTTTTTTAACTATAGAACTTATCATCTTATAAAGTAATTTTATAAATACACTTTAGAGTTTATTTTAGCTTAAAAAATCTTTTTTTATTTTTCGTTTTTCTTTCTAAAATTTAATTGTAAACCAATTATTTTGTTTTGAAGTTTATATATTTTACTTGCTTTTTTAAATGAAGTTACTTTAACTCAGTCTAAACTATCTTGCATTAAAAGCAAGGTGAGAAACATAATATAAAAATTTGTTGACATGTTTAATTTCATGGAAAAATAAAACGCATTTGGAAACTCCAAAACAGTATGCTTTTTATAAACGTCTTTTTAAAATCTCGCAAAATATATAAAAGACATTAGAAAAAAAAAGTTAAAAACATTATCTTTAAGATAAAACCGATGTATAAACAATATTACAATATCTAGCTCTAGAAAAAGCAATCAAAAGCGAAAAAATAAAAAATACTTCTACCAAAGAGTAGAATATCAGTGCCGGATTCAGAAATATTTGGTAAGAGGGGGGAGGGGGTATGCTAAAAATTTTATATATATATTTTTTTCATATTTGCGTCTCTTAAACAAAAAAAAAAATTATCCTTAATTTCTAAGAAATTTTAGGATATTCAGAATCTGGTGGAGGGTAATGCATACCCCCATCCCCTCCCCTTTCCCCCTGGATCCGTTAGTGTAAATATGTGATATATCGACCATTGCAAAATATAACTTTCAACCTTTTAAGGTAGGAAATTATAGTACAAATAATCAAGTGTCATACACCTTTTTCCCTTAGGGTTCAGTACCTTAAATTATACCTTACATACGGTTTAACACATGTCATACCTTAATGTAGACATTTTTACCGTTTTTATAAAAATACTAAAAGCCATTTCGAATATTGTTATATATATATATATTTTTTAAAAAGAAAAATCGGGCCTAGAAAGTTCTTTTATGGTTCTACACGCTTTAAATAATATATAAAACAACTGTTTTATATCATTTCTATAGAAATTACTTTAGTTTTTACAATAATTGCTCTTTTGTTGTGTTTTTAAGGATTACTTCTATATTAAATTTTTTTGCAAAAGAATTTAAACGATATAAAGCAGAATTTAGTAGATTTACTTTTATTTATAACTTATCTCTGATCTCTTCTAAATTATTCTAGAGGGTTATTATCCTTAAATTAAAATTTTAATTGAAGCTAAAAAAAAATTATGAGAATAATTTGCGTCATCATTTTGAATCTTGAGTGAGTTGTAAACTTTTAGAAAAGTGCGCTAAATAAACTTAAGCCTAAAAGTCACCTGGTATTTTTATACAGGTATTCAAATTAAAAGTTAAAAACGCTGTTTTATTATTAAATGATAATCGATGTGACTAAATACTTAAAGCCTTAACTTTTGCTGCAATAAAGAACAAAGTGATACCTTTAGGAGTTTTATATATATATATAAAAAAAAAGTGAAAATATCTTTAATATAGTCTCTTTTTCTTCCCAAAATGAGACCTTTCACGACAAAGATTAACCAGGAACCATAAAAAGTAAAACCAATGTAAAAATAATTTCATCCAAATGCACCATGATTAAAGTATTATGTAGAAGATTCCAATTGTTATTATAAAAAATACTAATAGAATATAATTAACTAAATGATTATGAAATATTGACATATATATATATATATATATATATATATATATATATATATATATATATATATATATATATATATATATATATATATATATATATATATATATATATATATATATGTATATATATATATATATATATATATATATATATATATATATATATATATATATATATATATATATATTTGGCGTACATTTCAAAATCATTCTTAATAACTAATTAATTCAGTATTAAATGGATTATAGATTAACGACACGGACCAATAGAAACATACTGTTTTTTCTAATAAATTGGGCATTTTTTTGAGAGGACAGCAAAATAAAAATGTTTGTACTTGTCGCTATCTCAGTTTTGTTGGTTTCAAATAGTAGTAAGTTTTAAATTTTAGTTCATTATTTTAACTTATTTTATTAATACTGTTTGACGGAAATTCTTTTGCTAATTAATTAACTTTTACAAGTTTAAACATTTAATTTACGTTTTTGTTGTTTTTTATAAAAAAATTAAATTTAAATAGTTTCCTCAATAAAATTGATGCGGTTTGTTATAACCTACCCTTAATTTTGTCAGTCTAAATACCTTTGACAAGCGAAGAGTTTTTTTTTTACCATAAACTGTAAATCTGTAAACTTTACTATAGGTATATATATATATATATATATATATATATATATATATATATATATATATATATATATATATATATATATATATATATATATATATATATATATATATGTATATATATATATATATATAATTGTGTGTGTGTGCGTGCGTGTGTGTGTGTGTGTGTGTGTGTTTGTGTGTGTGTGTAATTTAGCAAACATTAAGTATTAAATTTTTCCAATGTTATTGTATGTTATATTAAGTAAGCCCAACCCATTATTAAAAATTTTTTAACAAAAAATGAAGTATTAGAATAGGTCCTTAAATATTTTAAATTAAAAGGCCAAATAACACAGGGCATCTTTTTTTGGTGTAAAGAAAATGCACTGCTTTATTTGGTATAAAATTTAAAATGGTATAAAAAAATTTATTATTTTCATAATAATTTGATAGAAAATATTATATTTTTGTAGATGGCAATTCAATTGGAAAGCGTGCATTGAATCAAAGCAGTAAGATTACATATACAATACTAAAACTTAATCGAAAAAATTCTTGAAGTTTTTAATCATACGTTAGTTTTATGTTACAAACTCCTTTATTAGTGTTTTAAAAAGCTGATTTTCCTATCAATTTTATTGTAAGCTTTATTATACTTAATAGAGAACTTTTTTTTTTATAGATGAATGTTTGAAAGCGCATAACAAATTGAGAGCTAAACATGAAAAGACACCGCGATTGGTTCTGGATAAAGTTCTTACAAAGAGTGCACAAGCATATGCAGAATACTTAGCCTCCAACGACTTGTTTGAACACAGTGATGGTAAATATGGGGAGAATTTATATATGACTATGGGAGGTGAACCTCAAAATGTTTGCGATGATGCAAGTAATAGCTGGTTAGTAATGTTATGCTTTTATATTTTATTAGACATATTTCTAATCATCTTTCAGTTATCTAGACAACTATAGCCATTAATTTTAGATTTTATATTTAAGTTTTTATTTACCTTTAGAATAGTAACTAAGTTTTATAGCTTTCTCATATACTTGATAAAAAAATTTAAAACTAACCTTTTAATAAAAAATTAAGGTACTCTGAAATTGAAAATTATGACTATGACAAGCCCGATTATGCTCAAGAAACGGGACATTTCACCCAATTGGTATGGAGAGGAAGTAGGAAAGTTGGATTTGGTATTGCAACGAAAGGGGAAAATACTGTTGTAGTTGCGCAATACTTACCGGGAGGAAACAAGATAGGAGATTTTGAGAAAAATGTTATGCCCTTAATTTAGTCTTCACTCTATTTTAACGTTAATTTGATGAAATTTTTGTACCATTAAAAAAAGGAATGATATAATAAAACGTGTAGTGTAATAATGTGCAAATGTAGCTACTGTACTTCATCTTTTAACGTATTAGAATTAGATTTTTTAGAATGACTTTGTTTTGTTTTGTTTTTGTTTCTTTTTTAAGGTTTATTTATGTTTAAATAAAAATTTTAGTAATATTAGTCTTTATTTCAAGATGAAAGTTCTTAAAATGTTTTTTATTTTAATTCAAATGTTTCTTATAACAGTAATATAACTAAATCAGGTAGTGTCGCAGAATAGCGGCGTAAAATCCTTTTATTTTTTTACTTAAAAAAAAATCTGCAGTGGAGTAAAAAGTAAAAAAACCATTCTTTTTTTTTGTTTTTGTTTCTATTAAGTTAAGTTTTTCTTATGTGAGTGAAATAATAAAAAACATTTTTTATAAGTAATTAATTTATATTATTTAGGGGAACCTGTTGTACCTAGGACAGTTTTTCATATATATATATATATATATATATATATATATATATATATATATATATATATATATATATATATATATATATATATATATATATATATATATATATATATATATATTATTGTAATTTGACGCACAGTACACAAATGATAATTGCATATTTTAAAAGTCAGTTATTTGGTTACTCACCACCAAAATATCAAAAATGTATATTTCATACTTAATACATAGATTTTAAAGTTAAAAAAAGTGGTAATTAAGGTAAGGTACAACATACCCTATGTACCTGGGCCAGTACAATGGTGTACCTAGGACACATTGAGAATTTGGAGTGAATTCAAGTAAATAATTAACTTTTCTTTGTTTAATGAAACAATTCTATCTTACAAAGCATAGAAAGTTAAATATTTAAACAACATTATAAATTATTATTTCTCTCTTAACTTTTTAATCAGTGATTGGCTTTTATAAGAATACTATTAATATGAAGATTTATTATTCATTTAGTAGAAATCCCAGTACTTCTGTATCTCTTGAATATAATAAATTTCTCTGTTCTTGTTAACTTTTTGGAACCTGAAGCAGTTGGCTGATTAACAGGCACTGATCAATTTTGGTGGGTGATTTTTCAGTAAGTGAAAGATCAGAATAGGATGCGGGCATAAAATCAGCATCTATGTAGATGTTTTCATTCAAAGGATGGAAACCAATTGAATTAAAATCTTTTCAAATATTGTTTGGTGTGAAGGCAAGAGAAAAGTCTTTTCCCACCAACCCAGCAATATCATATATAGTTAATGGTTTTCCCACATTACCAGAGACATTAGTAACTCATTAGCCGCTATATTAAAATAAGTCTTGAAAGGTCCAAAAACTGTCTTGTCTAATGGTTGCATATGATTACTAGCATGTGTATGTAAAGTAATAAACTTTACGCCATTATCTTTGGCTTTTTGTATTGCGGGTACCGAAATATGACTTTCATGATTGTCCATTATGAGAATGACAGGCTGCTCTATGGTAGGCTTTGCTTGTTTGATAAAACGCTGAAGGAATTTCACAAACATGGACTCGTTTGACCAACCGGATGGGTTGGTACTTCCAATACTTCCTGCAGGAGCATTAGTTATCATAAAATCTTTAAAGTTTACTCAAGGGAATATCTGCATGAGTGAAATAAAACCACCACCTGCATTAATAGCCGCTATCATTATAACCGTCGTTCCTCTTTCAGCGCTAGTCATTGACCCAACTTGCTTCATAACTTCCAGTCATTTTGTTTGTATCCCAGCTCTTAGGGTACCTTTTTCCATTCGCTTTTGCAAATTGGTAAGCAAGTACTTTCACGTCTTTTAAATGTAAATAAACATACACTAAATACGTTAAACCAAAAAATGTGGAAGAAAAAAAACATGTTACAAAGAATAACTTTATAAAAAATAAATTGTCGTGCATTTAACAATTGTCTATTTAAAGGCCCTATACTCCAGCAAGATAACAGATATAACAGAATAACATTTAAACAGGTGGCTACAAAATAAATTTACAATAACATCCATCATCAACCCTGATTTTTAAAATAAAACTTCTCTGTAACTTTAAACAGTTGTATCATTGATGATTTCTATAATTTTTTTATAAAAATTATTTTTATAATTGTTGTACTTAATACTATCAAGTACTACAATTATAAAAGTTATATTTATAATTAAGGTAAAATAAAAGGAACTTGTATAAAACTTATAACGAAACCTTTCAAACAACAACCAAAAAACAATGCTAATTTAATCAAAATAAAAATTTACTGTACTTTTCGCTTAATTAATCGTTTTTCTCAACTAATTAAAAGAAATTTACAGCAATAAACATGAGTATTAAGTATTAGTATAAAATATCTAAAATATTAGTATAAAGTATTATAAACATATACTTAAAAAAATGTTGATAAAATAAGACAGCTTATAAAACTTACTATAATTTATTAATTACTTTATTACTGTATGTATGTGCTATAGTACATACATATAGTATACTAACCTGTTTGTATTTTACATTATATAATTATAAATTTTTTAAGCAAAGATATAGATCGAACAACACTCAAAAATGTAGCAAATCACAACAAAGTTACAAAATGCATAGTCAAAAACAAAATATTATCTTTAAAAATTTCTAATTATATAGTGTAAAATACACACAACCTGCGTGTATTTTAAATAGTAAATATTTTTAAAAAATCTATTTCTGTTATATAATTTCTACTTAGTGATATTTTCTCACTTAGTACTTTTCTAGAAATTTCCGTGAAAAAAACACCAAGGCTAAAGTACAACACCCAGGTTGTACCTTGGCCACTGACCAAGGAACAACTGGTCGACGGTGACCGAGGTACAACACCACTCCAACTTCAACAAAATGATAAATTTTAAATAGTTTTAAAGTTACTTATCTCGTAAGTTTTTTATTGTTTGGACACTTGTTGAATATAAGAATCCACAGCATGTAAAAAGTAATTGACTATTATAAAACGTTTAAAACTATCAGACTTCAAAATATATTAGAAATACTTACTTTTTTTCCAAAAAAAGGTTTTAACGTCGATTACAGAAAATACCGGCTTAATGGCGGTATGTGATGAACTTCATATTGAAGAATCAGTTGTGATGTACCAAATACCATAAACAGTAAAATTTAATATCGCGCGATCATTTGAAACGAGCCCAGTGGCCTAGGTACACATAGTGCCAAGGTTTAACAGGTTCCCCTACTTATAATAAATTTTTCCACTCACATAAGAAAAACTTAAAACAAACACAAAAATATCTTTTTACTTTTATATATACTCAATTGTTTTTTTAAACAAAAAAATAAAAGAATGATACGCTGCTAAGCGACATTACCTATTTTACGCTGCTAATCTGCGACATTACCTATTTTACGCTGCTAAACTGCGACATTACCTATTTTACGCTGCTAATTTGCGACATTACCTATTTTACGCTGCTATTCTGCGACATTACCTATTTTACGCTGCTATTCTGCGACATTACCTATTTTAAATAAAATCAAAAATGCTTTGTTTACATTTTAAATAAATGAAAAAACGAGATCCTATCAGCAAGATTTTCTTTTCATTTGTTTAGTACATTAAGTAATTTCTAACTAAAGTAATTTATGACAAACAGAAATCGATACTTAAATAATAAAAGAAAAATACTTTAAGTTAAAAAGTATACGACAGCATATTATTATAAAAGCTACGCGTGCGCAATGCAAATCTTCTTTTTTTATTATTTTCTTGGTTTAATATTGGCGCTGGATTGACAAAATCTTTATAGTGAGGCTTGTCGTAAAACCACCGTCGCTAACCTTATACTCGGGCTGCATCCCTGGTTCGGTGCCGGTCGTAAACCAATGATCGCCATGCATAGACCAGCTATATAGGGTTTGCTAAATATTTATCTTGTCCCATTGTGACACAAATCTCAAATTGTTACTCTCTAAAATATATCGATCAGAAAACTTTTATACAATAATAACAGTTTGTTTCTAATTTCGAGCCAATCAAGCTTTTTTAACAACCCTTACAACAAAACAAAATCAAATGCTTTTACAAAATCTAATAATAACTCATTTAGATTGTAGATGAGTTATTATCACTAATAAAATCAATTGTTTCGTTCAAATTTGTATTGCAGTTTGTTTTGTTAAAGAAGCCGTGTTGTTGTTTTATAATCTATTGGCGCACTTTCAAATTTTCCATTATCTCCCCTTATATAATTCGTTCAATTAATTTACATACAAGCGAAGTTAGTGAAAATGTGTGATAATTAGATTTTTTTGGTTGCGTGAATAAAAGTTGAGAACAAAAAACGTTTTTTTTTTTTAAATATCCGTTAATTTTTAATTTTTACAGGCAGTTGCGATGAATTTTTAGTTGCGATACCAATTTTTTTTTTATTTTCATTTTAATCCCGTGTTCTTAGGCTGGGCGAATAAAAACGAGCAATTGCTTTTATTCAGTAATTGGTCAGCTTTACGTGAATAAAAGCTTAAAAAATTTTGGCTAAGTTTTTATTTACGTTAAGCTGAACAGTAACTGAGATAATTGCTTAACTTTACGTAAATAAAAATCTCAGCAAAACTCCTGAAGTTTTTATTCACGTAAAGCTGACCAATTACTGAGTAAAAGCAATTGCTTATTTTATTCACCGGCCTATTGTTTAGATTTAGCTTTAAATTTTCAGTTTGCTTGTTTACTTTTGAACTTTGAGGAAATTTAGCAAACAATTAAGATCTAAAAATTACATTATCATCGCTTAGCACTGCTAAGCGTTGATATTGTAATTTTTAGATCTTCATTGTTCGCTAAATTGCTACAACCACTAATAATACAAATGCTAATACTATTAATAATAATACTATGCTACTAAGTAAACTATAATACTACTACTATAATACTAATCGATAAAAAATAACCAGTAATAATACTATGCTACAAGATAAACTGCTAATAGCAGTTTAACTAATCGCATATCAAGTTTATAATATCAATTTATATGAAGGTTATATTTCTCATTAGGTGTTGCTATCAAGTTTTTTTTTTTAACCGCTTTTAATAAAATCTTTTCGCCTAAAATCAAGGAGTCTTTGACCCGTGTCAGCCATGTGTATACATAACCCACGTTTGACTAATGTCAAAAATACGAGCCACAAACTTTACTTATTTTACTATTCAACTCTAAACCTTTTAACTTTAAAGTTTTTCGGTTCTTCAACTTTCAAGTTGAAACAGTATAGTATTTTAAGGTTAATTTATAGTTAGTATTTGTTTTTGCAAAAATAGTTACAGTATGCGTGACGAATTTCAGGCTGATTCTAAAAACTCAAATAAAAAGGATAAGATATTTTATTTTCAACAAAAGGTACAGTGCATTGGCTCGAAAATACTTAACATGGCCCTTTTTAATTGAATTAGAGATTCTATCTGAGACTGAATCTACTGAAAGAAGTTTTGATGAAATCGGTGGACAAGATATTCCAGGCCTTGTGGATGGATTCCTACTGAGTATTGATGTTGTTATAGTTATTTTCACAGACATTAAACTCAACATATGCCCATACTTCTTTGGATCAGATGTCTGCATAATTTTTGCTAAAATATTCCTGAATCATTTTTGTCATATAAAAGAGTAAGCATTTCTGATAAAATGCAGCTTTTTCATCACAAGTCTTGTTTGAAACAAACCAAGACATCTATGTTGGTTTTAACATCAATGAATTCTGGTGGCATTTTTTACCTAACGATGATATGATGCCGAAAAAAATATTACTAAGGACGCATGCTAAACCTGTAACTTAAACAAAATGTCGTTATAGTCTTCTTTTGGTATCATGATTGAAATGTACCCGTAAGTTTGATTATTTTTGATCCACGAAAAAATTATTTTTATTTAAAAACATTAAAACTTTTTTTCAAAATCCTTTTCGCTTAAAGTTCTCAGTATTATCTTTATTTCAGGTTTTGTCGTTTAAATATATAAAGAGAATTAATATTTCAATAGAAATACAGTTGGCTAGGGCAAAAAGACTATTTGTCCTATCGCTAATATTCCTAATATACTAATTATTCCGTAAAAGATAAATAACTATGTACAGCATATAGATAATTGTTACCAATATACATAAAACGCGATTTTCTTTTTGAAAAGATAATAAAGTTACAAGGAAATAAATAAAGATTAAAAAAAAAAATCTATTTTAAGACTATGAAAATATCAAAAATTTAAATGTTTTTTTTTAATAAATACATTTGTTTATTGTCGGATTAATATCACATTTCATAATTTTTTTTTTTGTAAGTATTTGTGGATGGAGATCTTCAGGGCATAGATGCTGTTACATTGATGTTCACAGGCGTATGAACCAAAAATCCGGGAGATGTTTGGTTTAAGAATGCATATCCGCCAGAAAGTCTTTTTTGTCATCATCAAAAAAAAGTAGATTTTTTAACAGAACGGCCTGTTTAAGCACTACTTCTTTCATCAGAAGTGAAGTTTAAAGCAATCCAAGGTTGTTTTTTTTTTTTGACACCAGTATTAATAAATATTGTGGCATTTTTTTCCATCCGATG